GGTAAAATCTTAATTGTTCAGATAAGGCTAGAGCCTGTGATTGGGCAGTAGAAGGGGAAAGGCGGAGCTGGAAGTTTTAGAAGAAAGAGGGAGAAGAGACAGAGGACAGAGGAAAATGGAGGAAGAAGAAGATGAACGAGAACCACGTGGCCTGAAGGAACCATAAGTAACCAGGGATTTCATAGATGGGTAATAGAGTAATATAGGGTACATTTGTCCAATCTAGGTGTGCAGCTTGTATTTATATCAATCGAGTTTTGTGTTCTTTGTGAGGGCATTTTTGGGGCTAGAGATTTATTGTTATAAATTTGGCTGGTATATTACAAGTCTCTAGTGTTATCGTTGTTTTGGGGCTAAGGGGATCTGAGCGAGTGGTAGCTGGCTTTCTGCAGGCTAGACACAGGAGGTGGATGGCCTGGTGGCTTGGCAGCAGGCTGGCCTCGGGAACCAGGGCAGATGCCTATTTGGGGCTGGCTATGGGGGTGGGTGAGACCGCTAAGGCTGGTGCCTAGCTGGATTTAGCATGGGTTGTTTTTTAAAAACTATATGCTATAGGCCGGGGGCAAGATAGTACACACCTTTAATTCCAGGAGACTGAGGCAAGGAGATCTCAGAGTCAGCCGGGACAAAGCAAGTCCCAGATAAAGGTGTGGTGGTACACATCTGGGCTACACCTTCTGCTAGAGGCCTACATAAGGAGTTTAGAAGAGGAAGATTCGCTCTTATATACCTGCTGGCACTTACTTGCCAGCACATCTGTTGGAAGCCATGTCTACAGAAGACCAAATGAAACAACTAGCCTCGTGGGACTGAGCAACTACTAGATTGACTTCCTGTCCACAGCTGCCCATTGCTGGGGAGTTGGACTACAGACTGAAAGTCATCACAATCAATTCCCTCAATATCGAGAGACAGTCCATAAGTTTGTGACTCTGGAGAACCCTGACTGATACACCTTCCCAGAGGCAGATTGTATTTTATCCATTGCTTGTCTCATTTTAAAGCACTCAGATGTCCAGTTTTGTTCAAGATAATCCAGGAGACTTAAATTTTTTGTTGTCATTGTTGGTAGTATGTGCTTTTAGTCTTAACTACTTGGGAAACTGAGGCATGGGACTGATTGAAAGCTAGAGTTTGGGGCTATAATGTGCTATGTCTCTGGGGATTGTTGGTGGTGGAGACTGAGGAAAACATTCAACATTTGCATATACATGTACACTATTACATGTGCACGAACATGAGCATGTACACACATGTACATATCACAGACATGTGTAAGCATGCTTACACACACACACACACACACACACACAGAGAGAGAGAGAGAGAGAGAGAGAGAGAGAGAGAGAGAGAGAGAGAGAGAGAGAAAGAGAGGAAAAAGTAAATGAGTTGGTAACTGGGGGACCCCAGGGCGAATTTCCCACAAAGGGAGTTCAGCCTTCTGGAGATATATTGAGCAAATGCTTGGACATCCCACTGTGTAAATCATGCACCCAGCAGCTCCTCATCCGTGGGGTACTTTTTGAGCCTAAAATAAAAGAAACATCTAGAATAATCTCAAGGTGAAAGGACTATGGCTTATGACTCCTGGTAACCCCAAGCATGATGCTGGACACACTGCACCAATTAAAGAGCCCTGGTTGATAGATTTATTATGGGAAGATGAGCAAGACAAAGCAACGTTTGAATGCTGCCAAACCGCACTTGGAGAAAGCCCACAAATAATAAAATTCTTCATAACTTCTGGTTTAATCCATCTTCATTGACGCAATACCCAACTTAAAAACACGGACTCCTCTCCAGTTCCTCTAATCCTGTAATGAAAGGCAGTAAAAACCAGCTTGGAGCCTGAAGGAGAAGCCCAGAATGTCAAGCTTACAGGTTACCTTGACTTCTCTTAGGAAAGAGTAATGTTTTCCCTAAAAAATTCTCTTGAAATTGAAACAGAACGCTGCTTTGGCAGCCTTAATCGACACCAGGGGGCAGGTGAGAAAGCAGAGTCAATACAGCTTCTCAAGGATGGTGCCGCTGGGGGTGGGGGTGGGGGTTGGGGGCAGCCTAAGAACATTTAAAAAGCTTCCAATGTGATTCTTGGCGCCCAGCATGGATGCTCTCTGAATTACTTGAATCTGAAAGTTTGAAAACCTTTTCAAATTTATTTGTTAACTACAGAAGCCTTCTGTGTTCATTGTGGAAAAAAACAAAAAACAAAACCAAAAACCAGAAACCAAACCAAAACAACAACAAAAAACCCCAAAAGCCACAGAAAAGCAAAACAAAGACATTTTACCACAAGTACTGTCACCAGTCCCCAAATAAGCACTACCATTGGTGGAGGATATTCTAGATCCTGTTCCTGCACTACCATTGGTGGAGGATATTCTAGATCCTGTTCCTGCACATCTTTCCCTTCTAAGTAGAATCATAATGTCTTCTTCTTACAGTGTGCTGTTCCATTGCTTGAGCTGGTAATAGTCACCCTTTACCTCAACACATATGGTTTGCGTAGAGAGGAAGCCTGTCCAAGATTCTAGTTTCGGCTCTGACCTAACCAGCGTTTGGCAACCAGCTCGACTTCTTCAGGGTTTAGATTTCTCAACTGTGAAATACAAGGTATTTGATGCCAACAATACACAAGGCTCCTACTGTCTTTATCTTTGTAACTGACCATTAACTGAAGGAAGACAGAATGGGCCGATGGCAGTTCTCAATCCCGCAGCACGCAGGTTCTGATCCCAGAGAGCCACAACCCTACTTGGAAGGTCCTGGTCAGGTTTATTGATCTCCTGATGGCTTTCCTTTATCTAAGATGGTATTTATGACAGGCAGTGCCATGTAGGATGCCCTAAGTATTAAACAGATGACACGGTGCACATATATGGTGCATGATAAGACTCGATGAGCTGTAGCCATGGCTGCCAGTTTGCTCGGGTACTAACTCTGCTGAGGTGAGAGTAGAAACAAGCACAGAAGGATCAGTTTTTCAATTGAGTTCTAACACGGGTCCAACACACTGGGCACTGCCGATACATACAAGTTTATTTATTCTTCAAAGAAAATTTACCATCTCCATATAGTACAACAGGAAAATGAGCCCAGAACTTGCCTGGGTTCAGGTGAGGATCAAACCCCAAATATTGACCTTTCATGGGGTCTTGGCCGTCTTGAGAGAGCATTGGTCCTGCCATTAGTCAGGTCCTTTATTTCAGAAGTAAAGCCCAAGGGCTAGAGAGATGGTCCAGGGTTAAGAGCACTTGTTACCCTTGTAGAGGACCAGGGTTTGATTTCCAGCACCCACATGGTGGCTTACATCCAATGACAGAGTATCCGATGCACACCTCTGACCTCTGAGGGTACTACATGTATGTGGTAAGCATACATACACAGTAAAAAATACTCATATGTATAAAATAAAAAGAAATCTTTAAAAAATTATCAAGTATTTTTCTCCGTGATGTTCAGCATGTATTTCTTAAATATATATATATATATATTTACTTGTGTGTGTCTTTGTGTTTGTATGTGTACACATATGCAGGTTCTGCAGAAGCCAGAGGAGGGCGGTAGAAGCCCTGAAGTTACAGGGTGTGTATGAGCAGCCTGAGCTGGGTGCTAGGAACTGATCTCTGGTCCGGGACAGAGCAACAAGGCGTTCCTAACCTCTGAGCCGCATCTCCAGCCCCATAGCACGGATTTCTTGTTCTTTATCCCACTGTAACAATTTTAGTGTTTGAGAGTTAAATGACAGAGAAATTTTTTTGCACATTCTAATTGGCTTTTAGAAAACCAAGCAGAGCTAGGTCATGGGCTTTGTAAAAATAATTTGTACACATAACGCATCTAACAACAATTAGAAAAAGAGGCCATGAATTTGAAAGAGAACAAGGAACATACGTAGGATCATTTGGAAGAAGAAAAGGGAAGGGGGGAAATGATGTAATTATATTAAAATCTCAGAACAAAAAAACAAAACAAAACAAAACAAAAAAAACAAAAGGAGAAAACAGTTTGTATTTGACTAACAGATTTAATTTTATAGCCCCCTCCCACCACCCAGGGTTTCTCAGTGTAACCCCTGGAACTCACTCTGTAGACAAGGCTGGCTTCGAACTCACAGAGATCCTCCAGATTCTGCCTCCAGATTGCTGGGATTAATGATGTGCACCACCACACTCGGTCAAACTTTATAGTTCTTAATAGTACAACTGATACTGGCCCTCAAGCTCCAAAAGAAAATAAGGAAATCTCAGCGAAAGCTACTGGGTGGGAAGGGAGTGAAATGAACTGTGATTTTTGACCTCCGTCTAAGGATGTTAGAACTCAGTCTAGGGATTTGGGCTGTCTGCTGCGTCTGGTGACAATGAGCAAGGACAGTAACTTCAATTTGGCCTATAGTTATTTCTTCCAAGGAGAAAACTGAATAGGTCAGCATACATTTGCTTATTCAGAATCAGAGTCTCACTAGGCTGTACAGACTGGCCCTCTGCCTCTTCGTTTCATGGGCTCACGTGTTTTCTTAACATTTGAGTGGTTGTGTGGCTTTATTTGTGGAGGAAGAAGAGCCAGCCAACTTCTTTTTGCTTGGATACACAAAGCGAGGAGCACCACGAGCATTTCAAATAACACAGACACCGGGTGGAGCCACAACTTTCTGAACTCAAGAGTCAACTCTGCACAGATCCACGCGTTTCCATAGGAGACCCCGCCAGGCTCGCACATGCTGCAGAAGGCCAGCTGCGAGCCGTGAGCTACGTGCTGCACGCCAGGTTCCGGGAACACGGCTGGGTCCCGCTGGCCCAGGGCTCCTGAACACTGCGGCCGCCTTCCAGCACGCTCTGGTCACATCCAGCCCCGCGGTGATCACGTTCCAGGGACAGGGGCTCGTGCCCCAGCTGCACAGTGGTTGGCCCGGGCATCCGGCCTTTGATTGGTCCGAGGGGCCGGCTCACGTGATCGGGCTCTGTTAAGCTGCCCCCGCGGTTGCCCGCGGTCAGTCGGCCGGCTGGACCGCGGCGCTGCATCTGCTAAGTGCTGGGTGCGAAGTTGCTCACGGTGCGGTTGTCGCGGTCGCCGTTGCCTTTCGACCCAATGAGCTGCACTAGGTAGGTTCAATGCAACTCTGCGCGCTAATGGAGGGGAATCTGCAGCTGTGGGGACTTCGGGGGCTTCTGTGGTTTTGTCTTCTCTGCAGCTGGGAGACTCCCGGGGTTGATGGCTGAGTTGAATCGTCCCGGAGGCTTTGAAGGGATGGAATTTGAGTTGTATTCCTTAACGCCTGTTTTGGGAATCTATAACTCAAAGCAGAAACTGCCTCAGTGAGTCAGCTTTAGCTGGGATTCCCTTGCTGAATTGACTCTGTTGCCTTTGAGCTCAAAGACCCAAGCACTTGGGGGCAGCTTAGTTTTGCACCCTTACATTGTTGGTGAGGTAGTTTAGCCTGTGGCAAAAGTTATGGGAGGATTTTGCATTTCTTTTTTTCCCCACTTTCCCTAGCCTGGTTTGTCATAGAAAATTCAGTCTTAAGAGTTTGAGCAAACTATTATTTTTAAATCTTGGCCGGGACTTAGAATTCCAGGGAAATAGCCCAATACTAAGATGTTCTATAAATGCAGAAGTAAAAAAGAAGGGGGAAAAACCCCACCCCAGCTCAACCAATAAAAAGGAACAACAACTCAACCAGTCAACCAAGATCATCTCATGAAATGTTGCTTCTCCAGTCGTAACTTAGTCCAAGAATTCTCCCTCCCCAAATCCTGCCTGTTAATGGTTGTGAGACAAATGGATCTTGAGTTTTTGTTACTGGAAGTTTATAATCCTCTCAGAAAAACCCTAGAGCTATGAAAGTGAGTTCTGAATACGTTCTTTACCGACCACTTTGTGATGATGACCATATACAGGGGTGCTTAGTTAGCACTGGTGTGAAGAGAATTCTCTCTCTGTCTCTCTCTGTCTCTCTCTGTCTCTCTCTGTCTCTCTCTCTCTCTCTCTCTCTCTCTCATATATATGATCAAAATGTTATATTCATATATGAATTATTAAAGAATAAATAATAAAGCCAGACTCCAAAATGGCACCTACTGTATTTCATGTTTTTCTGATCTGTAAGGCTGAAATTGGAGAGAAGAATCCTAATTCCATAAGTGTGGAAATAGAGTATAGTTCAAAGGAAAGAAAGGCCAGAAAAAGTCTTGATGGATGATTCTTGGTTTGACGTGAACCATTGTTACTGCCTTTCTACTTGTAAGTACCAGCTGCCTAACAATGGGACACCACGGAAGCCCAAACCAGTAGACTCTGTAATTCCATCAGCAAAGATAGTGAACATCTCAGTGTTTTCCCCTGTAGTTTTTCAGTACTTATAAATTCATATTTCTACAGTGTATTTTAAAACAGTTCAATTTCAGGTTATCAGTTTTTAAAGCTACACTTTATCTTGTACATATAATGTCCACCACAGGCTACATGATAGGGCTATAGTAAAGTGGTTATCATTGGACAGAATGAATGGGTCTGCTCTCCCAGCATCCAGCCATTCCAGTCACAGTTGGACCTGTCACAGGCATTTTTATATATGAAATGTAGGTTGTTTAAAGGTTTTCCTTTAGTCTGTGAGATGTTGGCTGCTGTCACAGTTGGTCACTTGTGAAAAATGAGGATTACTATGATAAGATGCAAAAGTCATTCTTTCTTTTAACAAGCGTCACTCTAAGGACAACACTGACATTTTACAAATTGTTTCATTTATCTCTTTCCAAGTGGATTACTGCTCCTGAGAAGTAAAACTGATTCAAGAACCAAAATAAGAAGTAGCAGCCAGAGGGAGTGAGAGGCTCTGTTTGAGACTGTGATTATGGAAGAAGCTGTCTGGCCAGTAGACTCTTTGGGGGAGCTTTAAGACCATGTTTACCTTGCTGGCCCCATGCCATGAAGCGCCACTGTAGTGGTTCTAAGTCCTAGGAATCTGAATTTTTTTTCAAAGAAAAGAAACTCCTCAGGTCTTGTTGACCTGACAGGTTTAAGAAACACTGGCCCAGAACAGAGTACATAATCCCAAGAGCTGTGTCAGACATGATCAGATCGAGCCCTCTGGTTTCTCAGATGGGGAAACTGAACCCTCTCAGGCAGTTTACACATGGACCCAGCAGCCTGCCAAGCACAGAGCTTGACTGCAGATCTAATCACCCCGAGCGCTCTCCTTTTCTTCATTTGATAGCACCTCCCTGCACTGGAGTAACTATCGTGTGTGCATTTGGGACCAAGGGGAGGAGGCCCCAGACCTCTGTGGTTACCATTCTTTCTTTTCCATTCCAGAATGATCCATGTGCTGGATCCACGTCCTTTGACAAGTTCAGTCATGCCAGTGGACATGGCCATGAGGATTTGCTTGGCTCATTCTCCACCTCTGAAGAGTTTCCTGAGTCCTTACAATGGTTTTCAACGAAGAAATTTTGTGAATAAATTGAAACCTTTGAAACCATGTCTCAGTGTCAAGCAGGAAGTCAAGTCACAGAATGAATGGAAGAGCCCGCACAACCAAGCCAAGAAGCGGGTCGTGTTTGCCGACTCCAAGGGGCTGTCACTCACTGCTATCCATGTCTTCTCCGATCTCCCAGAGGAACCTGCGTGGGACCTGCAGTTCGATCTCTTGGACCTTAACGATATCTCTTCCAGCTTAAAACTTCATGAGGAGAAAAATTTGGTTTTCGATTTCCCCCAGCCATCAACCGATTACTTAAGTTTCCGGGACCGCTTTCAGAAGAACTTTGTCTGCCTCGAGAACTGCTCTCTGCAAGATCGGACAGTGACAGGGACTGTCAAAGTGAAGAATGTGAGCTTTGAGAAGAAGGTTCAGGTCCGGGTCACCTTTGACACCTGGAAAACCTACACAGATGTGGACTGTGTGTACATGAAGAATGTTTACGGCAGCTCAGACAGTGACACCTTCTCCTTTGCCTTCGACCTGCCCCGTGTCATTCCAACTGAGGAGAAAATCGAGTTCTGCATTTCTTACCATGCCAATGGGAGGGTCTTCTGGGACAACAACGAGGCACAGAACTACAGAATTGTCCACGTACAATGGAAACCTGACGGAGTGCAGACTCAGGTGGCACCCAAAGACTGTGCATTCCAACAGGTGCCCCCTAAGACTGAGTTAGAACCCACTGTCTTTGGCAGTCCAAGGCTTGCTAGTGGCCTCTTCCCAGAGTGGCAGAGCTGGGGGAGAGTGGAGAACTTGGCCTCCTATCGATGAGTTAGGCAATCTATAGACTGGCTTTGTCTGATCATAATCCTCATGCAATTCTAGGTCTATATTGCTCAATATTAGGAAGTCTTAGTTACTTTCTATCAGTAGATTTAGGTCTGAGCTGTTGGGGCCTGGCTAGAGAAGCCATAGCCACTTGAGAATTTAGTGTTGGGGTCTATGAGGGTGATGCCGCCAGCTTTGTTCTGAAGGATCAAGGACAGCCTGGGAACTGGTTTTATAGAAGCAACACCCTTTTTGGGGGTGCCTTTTTCCACTTCCCTCTCAGTTCACTAGCTTTCACTTTGAATAAGGAAAGGTTTGAAGTCAGTTGATGGTGATGGAATGCTGAGGTAAGGGTGTGAGGAATGTGAAATGTTTATGCTAAGACTCTGAGGCTCAAGTCAGAGGAGGAGCAATGGCTAAATCGATAGTTAACTATTGGTGGGAAAACAGAAAGTTACCTTGTGTTTCGGAATGGGTTCTTCGGGCTTCTCTTGAGGAAATAGCTCCACGATGGGAAAGAAACCCATTCTATGCATCCTTGCATAGAAAAATAAAAGGGTGTTGGATGGTACTGGGGGAAGATGAACTGTAGTTCTGAAGAGTCAAGATCTTGAAGGTTAGAGACGTAGCTCAGTTGGTAGTGTGCTTGCCTAGTGTGCGAGAAGACCTGAGTTCCAGGTCTAGCACCACATAGCTGAGGGTGGCAGCACATGCCTCTACTCCCAGTATGTCATAGTGGAGGTGGAGGCAGGAGGATCAGAAATCCAAGGTCATCCTTGGCACACAGAAAGTTGGAGGCTAGCTTGGGCTGTACGAGTCCGTCTCAAGGAAACAATGATATCAAAAGATCTCTTTCAGTTTAAACTCGGTCTACCAGAAACCATGTTTTGGAGAGTCCTGAAACAAATCTGGCTTTGCATTCTTAATCGGATAAGCGGCTTTGTGATGAAGGCATCATTCTTGGGTTCTTGCTACAGAATGCTGCCTAACATCAGGCGTGTTGTCACTAATGGCTAGCAGCATGTAGGGACTCCACATCATGTCAAAGAGAGCTCTTTCAGTGCCTTGGTTAAACCAGAACACTGTAGCTGTTTAAACGAGATACCTGAATGGCCATCTAATAACTCATGAATTTTTGGGGCCTTATTTGGAGGTCTAGTCACTGGCGTTCTCCTGAAATGATCAGGAGTGCCGTCAGTGTGCACAACTCATGTCCTTCATATTGAAGGTGACTCATCTTTCTGCCACACTTTTTTGATGTGATGTTTGAAGTGGAGACTGACACCAGAGTCTCAATGCAAGAATCCAGGACCTTGCACATGAAAGTATCAGTCTATCTCATGCTTACCTTTGTCTTGCTGTTTTCATTTCTAGTCAAAATGCTTTTTTTAAAAAACATAGATATGGATTATTTTGAGTGTGAACTGTTTTTTGTGTGCGCATAAATCCACTTTGTGGGATCTTGAGGACAGGTGTCCTGGGATGACTGCCGTTATCAGTGTGCATGTCCTTTGAGGCATGTTGGGAAAGTGCAGTGAATTGTAACATATGTGATCTGCCATGCTGGAAAAACACGATTGGGATACCTCCCCTGTTGACGGTATTTGAGGTTTGGCTAGCATCCGTAAAGTTCTCTGCTGTAAATATCTACATTGTCCCTGTGAGCTTCTCACTTTAAGAATAAATGTGCTTGGTAGAAGATCTGAGAATGTTTTCTTTCCCCAAACCATAACTGGTCAAATCAGAAAGGTAGTAACTAAAGTTCTGTTTTGCCTAGCAACGACCAAGCAAGCTGGTTTGGACCAGGAAGTGGATCAACCTGCACACATTCATTTGCCTCAGACTCACTAGGGACCTCAGGTCCTGTGGCCTGACAGCAGGGGCTTGGGTCCAGAGGCAGTAAGCTGAGCTGCTGTAATTGTCCTCGGCTAAGGCTCCTTCTTATCTTACATACTTTGTGCTGGGCCAGGCTTATCTTGGGTGCTACCTGTCATTTTTTACAGTGGGGGAGGATGATGTGGGAGGTGTGGAATAGCTCTTACTTTTTCAGCTCTGGTATCTTTCTGAGGGCAAAGCTTGGAACTGCAGAGAGACCCCAGGAAGGGCCGGCCTATGGGTCTTAGTCTTGGTCTGAAGGGGAAGTACAGCTCTTTAGGGTGAGTCCACAGGTCCACGAACCTAAGCTGCTCTTCCAGTTTTGCCTAAAATTTCCATAAAAGTATCACACTGTGTCTTTATTATTATTATTTAAATTTATTTATTTATTTACATCCTAATTGCTTTCCCCTTCTTAGTCCTCCACCCCAGAGTCCCTCCCCACACCCCTCTCTTTCTCTGAGAAGGTGAGTCCCCTCTCATCTCTGATTGAGGCAGACAAGGCAGCCCTGTTGGAGACCGAATACCACAGTCAGGCTACAGCTTTAGGGACAGCCTCCACTCCAGTTGTTGGGGGACCCACATGGAGACTGAGCTGCACATCTGCTACATATACTTCACACTGTATCTTTAAAAAACTTTTATTGAAAAAATTTTATATACTTTGATATTTTTCCCTCCCGGAGTTCCTCCCAGATCTTCCCTACCTATTCAACTTTTTATTTTTAAAAAAATCTCTTTATAAAACAAACAAGCAGGAAAGAAATACCCTTCCCATGCAAAATGGAAATGAAAATAAACAAGCAAAAGACCCATAAGACAAAAAAAAAAGCCCAAGCAAAACAAAATGAGACAAAAAGTCTACAAAAAATACCCGAGTTGTTACGTGTTGGCCCTACTCCTGGGCATGGGGCCCGCCCTGGAGTGTGGTTAATATATCCACTGACACTTCATGGGAAAAAAACCCTGACTTTTTCTTAGCCAGAGGATATCAACAGCGGATAGCTTCTTGCTTAGGAGCGGGAGCCCATGTCTACTCCTTTCTCAGTGCTGGGACCCATCTGCCTTGAACCTGTACAGGCCCTGTGCCACCAGTCAGTTCCTCTGGCCTATTGTGTCTGGAAGACACGGTTTCCCTGGTGTCCACCATCTCCTCTGGCTCTTCCAACCTTTCTTCCTCCTCTTCTGCACAGCCCCCTGAGCCTGAGGGGAGGGCTTTGATGGATGCATCCCCTTTGTGACTGAGTGCTTCCAAGTCTCTCAGTCTATGCTCTTTGTCCAGTCATGGGTCTCTGTTTACACAGTGTCTTACGATGAAGAGATAGTCAGTGACTAGTCTATCTGAGATGCTGAATTATAAGAATAAACTTTCATAACAGCAGCCTTCGTATCAGGGACTATAAACTCCAAGTCTGACCACAGATGTATTTGGTATGTATTTGGTACACAGATTTTTTGTTTTGTTTTATTTTGTTTTTGAGATAGGGATTGATTTTATAGCCATGGCTGGTTTGAAATTCTCTTCAAAGACCAGGCTGGATTCAAACTTGAAGCCCTCTGCCTACTACTGCTTCCTAAATGCTGGGATTTATAAGTGTTTGCTAGCACATCCAACATAGAATATTTTAAGAAAAATTTGTCAAGGCAAATAGTGAGCAGACGTATATAAAACACACAGGTGTCATTTTTCTTTTTTAAAAAATTGCAAGTACTGCCCTCCTGGCAACAAATGTGGGGAGCTGAAACCAGCCTCCTCCTTCACATAGGGCACGCAGCCCTGAATGGAGCAAGCATGGGCTACTCGCCCATCTCTCTACCCTCGGCTGTACTCTAGTACACTGTTGGCTGCTCTCTCAAGGTCACAGTCAGCATTTTGTCCCTTCTGGATCTATTCATGGTAATGACTGTGTGAAGAACACTTTCTTCTAAGAGGTGTACAAAACTCGAACTGAGGTTTGAAAATCATGAGACTCTGATGTAAACTTTATAAAAGAGGAAAATAAGATCAGGCAAGGTGGGGTGACTAACTCAACCTGCGCCGGGTTGGTTAGTGGCTTTCGACCTGGCGTTCCTTCCTGCTCTTGACATTTCTTGAAGTCTCCCATGAGACCCTACTTCTCAGTAGCTGGGGAGTTGAAAGAAAGAGCTGTTTTCAACAGGCATCACTCTGGCTAGCTCTTCTTAGCAGCCCGTGGCAGCTTCACTTGGCATATTTGAGGGCTGTTCCCGAGTAAGGATCTGGTCAGCAACAGGGTGCTACTAAGGGATATAATTGTTCTCATTTCACATTACGATTCATTAAGAGAAACAATGCAGTCTTTAAGATTATTAACACAAGGGGGTGGGTTAGGTGGCTCTGCAGTTAAGAGCTATTCTTGCAGAAGACCTGAGTTTGATCCCCAGTACCTATGTTGGTTGACTCAACTGCTTGTAACACCAGCTCCAGGGGATCTGACATCCTTTCTGGCTCTGTGGATACCTGCAGACATGTGGCACGAATTCATACACACACACACACACTCTTTATAAAAACATTTAGCGTGAGGAGAGCCTGGGAAGATAGCTCAGTTGAAGTGCTTGTGGAGCAAGAATGAGGACATGAGTTCAGGTTCTCCATGTCCCTGAAAGAGACGGTCATGGTAACACATGTCTGTGATTCCAGTGGCAGAGAAGCAAAGTCAAAGGATCCTTAGAGCATCTCAGCCAAATCAGTGCAATCTGGGTTCAGCTAGAAACCCTGTCTCAAAAAAAAAGGTGGAGAGCAATTAAGAAGACATCTGATGTTGACCTCTGCCTTCCACATGTACATGGATGGATACATGTATATACACACAGAGACAGACAGACACACTCATAGACACACAAATAGACACACACAGAGTTACACATAGATAGACACACACAGACACACAGATACATGAACAGTTACAGACAGACAGACAGACAGACACACACACACACACACACACACACGAGATTTAACATGGAAGAATGGCTCCTTCTATGCTTGAAGAACAAGGGGATTGAGTTGTTTAAATGAGCCTTCTAGCATCTTTGTTGCTTAGACTTTATTTTTGAGACAAGTCTCATGCAGCCCCAGGCTGTTTTCAAACACACTGTGTAGCCAAGGATAACCCTGTACACCCGATCTTCCTCCTTCTATCTCCTTGCGAATGCTGAGACTGCAGGACAGGCTGCCACACCCAGCTCCTGCTCTGCTTGTTTGCTCGTTTGTTTTTTGCTTTTTTTTTTCCTTCACAAACAAGTGGTAAAATGGTGGCACCGAGGTTAAAACTTGCTTGAAATAAAAAAAAAAATGCCTACATCATTTTGTTCTGAGAAAAAGTTTGATTTACTGAAGGAAGAATTCCTTTGCTTTTTAAATTTATGAATCTTTTTAAAATTGAAAATAGATTTTTTCCATTCAATATATTCATCACAGTTTCCCCTCCTTCATTGTCTCCCAGTTCTTCTCTACCTCCCCAATACTCATTCTCTCTCTCTCTCCCTCTCTCTCTCTCTCTCTCTCTCTCTCTCTCTCTCTTTCTCATTAGAAAACAAACAGGTCAACAAAACAAAACAAAACAAAACAAAAAATGGAATAAAACCACACAGAAAAAAAGAAAGCGACCAACGAAACAACCCAAAGACAAAGCATGAAAAGCAGATACACACACAGACAGAACCAGAGACACACACAGACACACAGACACATATACATACACACAGAGACATACACATACATACATACACTCACACACAGACACACATGAATGCACACTCAGACACACACACATATACACACAGACACACACTCGCACAGAAACCCCACAAAATCAGAAACCATGATATACAAGTAAAACACCAGTAAGGTTTAAAAAAAATGTCCTAGCAAAGCATTACAAGACAAAAATTCTCCTATAATCCCAGCGAGACCATTTTGTGTTGGCCATCGTAGCTGGGCATGGAGCCTGTCCTTCAGTGTGGTCTGTACACCCAGTGAGACTTCATTAGAGAAAACTAATTTTTCCTTTGCAAGTGCTTGTCAGTTGGAGAAAGCTTCTTGTTTAGGGATGGGAGATTATGCCCACTTCCTCCCCTCCTGAGACCCCATTTGGCTCAGGCCTGTGGGAGCACAATGCATGCTCCAGGGTCTCTGAGTTCATGTATGCATCAGTCCTGTTGTGTCTGGAAGGCACTGTCTCTTTGGGTTCTCCATCCCCACTGACTCTTGCAATCTCTCTGTTTTTTTCTTCCACAGAGATTCCTGAGCTCTGAGGGATCTGGAGTCCGGGTTAGGATCGAATGTTCCAAGGTCCCTCACTCTGCACACTGTCCACTTCTAAGTTTCTGTATTTGTTTCCATCTAGGAGGAAGCTTCTCTGATGATGCAGAGCAGGCACGGATCATATCTGTCCCTTTTTTTTCTTCCTAAATGTATGAGTCTTATTTTATCTCTAAGCTAAAAGGCTGGAACTTGGTAAAATTCGGATAAATCATGTATCTTCCTCAGAGCCCAAAAGTTCTATGGAAATTCAGTCCTTCATCCTGCAAAAGGAGCTCAGCAATAATTTCCAGGGATTCACAGAAGCTACTGGAACAAATCCTGTTGTCAGTGGGCAGGCAGGGACTGTTCTCAAACTCAGAACAGCCCTCACATACAATTCTGTTGTCTCCTGTCCTCCTGACTATGCCCCTTCTGCCAGTGAGAGGATGCCTAGTACAGGGCTCAGAGTCCCCTGCCACCAGTGGTTCTCAACTTTAGCCACGTTTCAGAATCACTCTGCAAATTTTGAGAGGTACCAATGCCTCTCAGGGCACCACCT